ATCTGTATACTGGACAACATGTAAACAGAATCTGGTATAAACTCATCTTTAGATTAAAAAAAAAAAATCACATGAACATTTTCCAAAATAGTTCTCTATTTTCTTCGGAAATTGCTCAGAACATAGATGTACAAGAAAAAGAAAGAGGGAGAAAAAAAAGCAAAGAGAAAAATCTGGAGAATATCATGTTAAATTATCTTGTTTCTTTGAAACACATGACAACACAGAGCACTACAGAGCAAAAAAAAAAAAAGTATGATTCTTTTCTCATGTTTATGTAATCTGGAATAGTAACTATTTTTTTCTCTAGGATAAATTTTAAATTACTGTAGAGAGGAGAAAAATATAAAAGATGAGAACCACCACTGAAGTTTCCACACGGTCCCCAAGGGGAAGTCCAAGTATCCAGCAAATCTTTCCTCAGAGAAGTATTTAACTGTTATATGGTTAATTCATTTGGAACACCTTGTTCTAAACTGAGACACAAAAGTGCTTTGCTGTAAAATCTTCTACTTCAACTCCCTAGAAGACAACAGTGGATTAGATGACCAGAGAGACTACTTGGAAACTTCCATGCTCTGGTGTTTCTGAGTCACGTCTTTACTCAGGATGATGCTGGTTTTGAATGGTGTGGCTCATGGTTCAGCAATGTTTTGCTCTAGACAGATGGGCCATATGGAAACTATGAACTAGCTTCACAAACAGGACCATGATGAGCCAATGCAATAATTTTATGTTTTCTGTTCCTATTCAAGTGGTCTAGTGAACAATATATTATCATAAGGCATGCGTATTATGTGCCTTTATTTAAATATTGAGTAGTGATTATTTTTAATGTCATGGATGTTGTTAATATGGGGACTTAAAAAACCTGCTTATCTCTTTCACTTAACAAAAAAAGCCTGAAATATTCTGGATGTTAAATATGCTCCAATTCTCCCCTCAACAATAATTTGCCTTGATGCAACAATAAAGTCATGGTCCAAAAGGAGAAAACAGTAAACAGCCTCAGAGCTGTCAAGGACATTCTTTCCACAAGAACCAGGGAGAAGCTTTAACACTTTCCTGAACAATTCTAATCAGCAAAAAAAAAAAAAAAAAAGATGATGACAATGCCAATTTGCCGAGAACTAGGAGGCAAGCATGACTCACCAAACAATTAGCTTGGGGAATGCGCAGTGTTCTTTCATGGTTTACTGCTTTCATAATTATTAGAGGGACAATAAACATTTCACGTGAAGATTCAAAAAATACAGCAAGTGGTTTTTTTTTTTTTTGCTGGATTGAGCTTAAAATTTAATGAAAACCTGTGTGGGTGAAGAAAAATTACAGTTGTTGGCACAATACCAAAGTGGAACAAATGAACAGCACTTATGCAATCGCATGTTTTGTATAGGACATGGGAGAGCTACAGAATAGCTGAAATTAGTATGTGGAAAACAAACGCACTGGTTTCTAGAGGTATCCACAAACTATCGTATATACTCACTCAGCTTGTAAATGTCTGCAAAGGCTATGATGGAAAATGATCATGTTTCATTATTACAATTAAAATACATTGGTCTCAGATGCTTTTCTAAAGAAGTAAAAAATATGAGACCTAGATAATATGGTACAATTGTTTAAAAAGGAGAATTTAAGGAATTATAACTTACTTGTTTTTTCAGGGAGATTTATTAAAAACACAATTACATTGTATGCCTAAGATTAGGAAAGAATAACAAATTTTCCCCCATATAACAAATGAGCCTCATATTTTATAGATCATAATTCTCAGATTCTGGTATTTTCTATTGTGATCAGAGAAAATCTTATAGGAAACTATAAAATTTGTTCATCTCAATTCACTGTAGATTATGAATATGGGGATACCATATTTTTGCTGCATTCATAAATTGGTAGTACCAAAGACTAACAATGACAGATTTTTATTCTTTGTTGTACATATATAGATTTGGGTATGCTGATGATAAAAAAATGACCCTCTAAGACTAAATTTCAAACAATAAACATAGTGTTTCAGATCTGGAAGAAATAATTTTCTTTCCTAAATGCTCTTCCATATTTATCCTGCTTTTAATTTTTTAAGACTTTCACCTATACATGTATTTTGGCTTATAACTATTACTGATGCAGCAGTATAGTGACAGGAAACTGCCAAAAATTCAGGCCAGATTCAGAAGAGGACATGGAACCAGGAATATCATTGCTGATGTCACATAGATCCTGGCTGAAGGCAGGGAATACCAGAAGGATGTTTACCTGTGTTTTGTTGACTATGCAAAGGCATTCGACTGTGTGGATCATAACAAATTATGGATAACATTGCGAAAAATGGGAATTCCAGAACACTTACTTGTGCTCATGAGGAACCTGTACGTAGATCAAGAGGCAGCTGTTTGGACAGAATGGGGATATTACGTGGTTTAAAGTCAGAAAAGCTGTGCGTCAGGGTTGCATCCTTTCACCATACCTATTCTATCTGTATGCTGAGCAAATAATCCAAGAAACTGGACTATATGAAGAAGAACGGGGCATCAGAACTGGAGGAAGACTCATTAACAACCTATGTTATGCAGATGGCACAACCTTGCTTGCTTAAAGTGAAGAAATCAAAGAAATCAAAAGATGCATTGCACTGGGCAAATCTGCTGCAAAAGACCTCTTTAGGGTGTTGAAAAGCAAAGATGACACCTTGAAGACTAAGGTGCCCCTGACCCAAGCCGTGGTATTTTCAATCACCTCATATGCAAGTGAAAGCTGGACAATGAATAAGGAAGACCAAAGAACTGACGCCTCTGAATTGTGGTGTTGGCAAACAATATTGAATATACCATGGACTGCCAAAAGAACGAACAAATCTGTCTTGGAAAAAGTACAATGAGAATGCTCCTTAGAAGCAAGGATGGAGAGACTACATCTTACATACTTTGGACATGTCGTCAGGAGGGATCAGTCCCTGGAGAAGGATATCATGCTTGGTAAAGTACAGGGTCAGCGGAAAAGAGTAAGATCCTCGATGAGATGGACTGACACAGTGGCCACAACAAGGGGCTCAAGCCTAATCATGAGCATGGCGCAGGGCAGGACAGCATTTTGTTCTGTGGTACACAGGGTTGCTATGAGTCAGACCCGACTCAACTGCACCTAACAACACAACTATTACTTATCTCCATGAAAGCGATGTTTAACTAGTAATTGGAATTAGAATTCTACTCTGATTCCTAGTGTTTATTCACTTTAAAAGATAATATTTACTTTTATAAATCCTTTGTCTTCATTACTAAAACCAGCTAAAACCAGTTGACTTTGAGTCATTTCCAACTCCCGGCACCCCCATGTGTTTCAGAGCAAAACTGTGCTTCACAGGGTTTTCAGTGGCTGATTTTTTCAGAAGTAGATTGCTGGGCATTTCTTCCAAGACACCTCTGGTGGACGCAAACCTCCAACCTTTTGGTTAGTAGCCAAGTGCTTAACCTTTTGCACTACCCAGGTACTAAAACCAGCTAGATAACCACAAAAACTTGTCATCTCTTGGCATTGCTTCTACTCTTTTTAAAAGATGAGATTTTGAGGACAAGGAAGGAGCCATTCTGGGGAGGTACTTGTTCACAGCCACGAGGCCCCATGTGACACACCTCAGGGAAGCCCACATCTAATCCAGCACAGGCAGCAGCAGAACATTGTCTACAAAATGGCATTTTGTCTGGTGTTAATGATTTTAAAACACATACCTCTGAAGATGCACTTTATTACTTAAAAGCGTAATTAAGGCTTAGAACTGACACATAAATATTTGTATACAATTTGTATCATGTAAGGAAAAATGGCTTTGTTAACAATTTCTTCTGTCTTTGTTTTTGTTCTGCTAATTATTCTTTTTATTTGTTCAATTGCCTCTCTGACAGATTATCTCTTCCTTGTTAACATTTAGCCACATGCTAACGTTCTAGAACAGGAGACAATTTTTACAATAGCATAGTTTTTCCTCATTTAAGAGAACCATTGCTACCTTACGACAATGTACCCATTGCACATTTCCAATTGTGAACTGTCCGCAAAATTTATTAGATATTCTACAACTACATCATTAAAGGAATACCTTTAAAAGACCCAGTTTTGGGGACACAACTATTGGTCAATGCCAAAATGAATGTGTATTTTTCATCATTTTAACGAGACATCAAAAATCTTTTACCGACATCAAATTATATGAGTCCATATACCACATATAGACTAAATATCGATAGTGGTTTAAGATGCATAGCACCATAAACACATACTTTTTAATGATCCCTCTTCATTTTTACTAAAGGTTTAAATATTTAATGCACCGATAGTATCACTGACTTATTCCGCCTGTTGAAAGAAAGTACATTTGATAATTCTTAGTAGTACATCCACTCCTTCTGGCCATTGGAAAGAGTGTCATTCTAGGCATATCTATAAATAACTGCAGTGCATGAACGAAAATTCTGCCTTCTCCACACACTAAGCGCATTTTCAAACACATGCATTTCACTGTTTTTTTCACCGGTGAGATAATCCCAAATGTAACAGATGTGTTAATAAAGAGTCCTCTTCTGCTTCTTTAAGTTGTCCTACTTGTTTTGCAGGTGGTCGCTGGGGTAAGAAAGGAACATTATCTTACAGCTTAGTTTATACATTGGATGCAGAAGTAGGTATTAAATACTATGGCTCTATGATATCTACATGTCTCCTCTGGGTAACAACAAGGAAAACTATTGTAAAAGCAGCATTATAAATATGAAGGCCAAAAAAAAAAAAGAAACATTGAAAAAAGCAAAAAAACAATTCTGGATATAACAGAGGAGACGACAAATGGCGTGAGCTTTTCAAAACACTCTACAAATAAAACAGTATTATTCAACAGGATGTAACAAAATGGGAAAAAGAAGCAACAGTACATCACGAGACACAGACACATCCGAAAGCAGCAGTCTTACAGACATGGCCACAGAGAGGATTGCTTTTCTTACTTGCACAAGTATCTTGAGGGGTTTGAGAGGTCTTTCACCATGAAGCACTCGCCTCCGTTCACACAGAACGTTTTCTCCTTCTCTGCGCATTTTACAAGATGGCTCGTCCCAGTCGTAGATGTAGATGTAGCTGAAAAGGAGATAAAAAAGGAGAAAGGTTAATATCCATTTTCCCTGCTTCTGAGCAGTCTTTACTCTTAAATTCTCTTAAAAGGAAGAGTTCATATTAGGTACAGTGGCCTTCGCTAGACTTTTCAGGCTTAACAAAAACAACAAAGAAGTACCCTCTAGCTGTAAATAAACAGTTAAATTATACAAGAGCTAATTATAGATGTAATTAATTGATTTTCTTACTTACAATAAAGTAGGAAAAGGGAGTCAACATTTTTATAACCAATAGTTTACCTTCTAATGTAATTGGAAAAGAAGATCTATTATCATTAAGTAAAATATATTTTCCAGGAACACTCAAAGATAATTATTTAAAGTCATGTCAATGTAGGTCAATTTAGACATCAATTTCTTAATGACAACTAATTGATAAAATTATTATTTTGGAAATTGTTTTGTATGTGTATTAAATTTACATTTTTTTGACATACTTTAAAGCAAAGAAAAATATAAGGTGGCTTATTTGTTAGTAATAAAAGAATTTAATTTAATGTATGTTAACAAATAGATCAGAAGCCACTCTATTCAAAAGTTTATTCTCACTATAGAAAACCATTGCTGCCTGATTACCATGATAATTTTCAGGAAATGGAAAGATAGTCTAATATCCTTGCAAATGGAGAATAAAGCACTCCAAAATCACACATTTAGAGTTAGGAGTAGAAATAAGTCCTAACTTGCATTTACTATCTCTTCCATATAGTAATTGGATGATATTCACTTGTCAAACTTCACAGTTATGTGGAGGTGCAGATGAAAAGGGTGCCTCCACCACTGGGTAAGGAGTAATGAAGCCAAATCTCTCCAGTCCGGAGGCTGTAAGGGTTTTTAATATTAGAACTTTCCCCACTTATTTCACGGGGGACACCATGCATGGGGCTCAGTCTCAACAAAAATGTCTAATTTAAAAATTGTTTATCAATCTTAATATCACGATGAAAAACAAAATATATCAACCCACTGAAGAGTCTATTTACTTTCTCAGAAAAAAAAAAATCCATCTTTAGATGAATTTAAAAAAAAAACAAACAAAAAACCTCAGTCAGACCATTAAGTCTGGTCTTTGTACATGAATTAAAGAAGACATGGTCCCCACACTCTGTTAACCCAGAACTAAAACCATTCCTGAAGCCTGCTCTTCAGACAAAGATTAGACTGGACTATAAAGCATAAAATAATACTTGTGAAGAGTATGCTTCTTAGTTCAAGTAGATACAGGAGACTAGATGGGCAGCTCCTGCACAGAGGCAGGATGAGAAGGCAGAGAGGGATAGGAGCTGATCGAATCGACACGGGAAGCCCAGAGTGGAAAGGGGGAGTGTGCTGTCACATTACAGGGATTGCAACTAGGGTCACTTAACAATATGTGTGTGAATTTTTGTATGAGAAATTAATTTGAGATGTGAACTTTCACCTAAAGCACAATAAATTTAAAAAAAAAAACTCTAACCCTCATTCTTCTAGATTTTTCTTTTTATCAATTTCTATTTTATTTTTGTGTGTGTGTGCTTTCAGATGCCCCTGTTAACTTTTGACCTGTCATATGTTTCTATTTTCTCTGCCTTTCTTTTCCATTTCTTGCAAGTCTATATTTTGTTGTGACTTTTAACCTCGATTTCTTCTACTCTGCTTGATTTTCATTCTGCCTGATCAGAATAACCAACATCTGATCTTTCAGTTTCTGAATTACTCAAGACTGTCCCTGCCTCTTATTCTCCTGCCTGTGTTTTTGGACCATTTCACTGCTCTTCGCATGGTTTTTAGTAGTAACAGCAAAGAACAGTCAAAACGACTTGGACTCTGGAGACCGATCTTGCTTCAAATCCCATCTCCCACTGGCTTCATGTTCTTAAACAAGTCTCTTAACCACCCAGATGTCCCATTTTTCCATTAATAAAATAGGGGTAATAGACCTCTTACAGGATTCTTCCAGGGATTATAAATAATCTAGGCAAAGGAATTGGCACAAACTGGCACTCAACGAATAATAGCACTTATTATGACTGGGCAAGTAGGGAAGGATCTTAATGTTGGTATTTATCAATCAGATAAAAAGCTTGACAAGAAAACCAGGGGATTTCAAAGATGCATGCTATTCATGAATCATTACAGTAACTAGCAAGAAGTGGGTCATTTTTTTTTTTTAATACTCCAACAAAAAGCCCATTTCAAAGCATTCTTTCACAGGTCTCCAAATGAAACAATGAAGCAAAAGGAATAAGGAAGAGTGAGAAGAGAGGTGATTTTACCCTCTGTTTTCAGCTAGACTTGAGCATCTTTATCAGGAAGAAGGGAATGCAACTTGCATTGTTTGGGCTGCAAAATCATGGAGGAGAAAACATTTCCATCCCTCATATAGCATATAATTTTAACATAACACCATACCTCTTTTGCAAAATTGTTTACTTAGGTGCTGTGAATTAATATTTTCAATCACAGAGATTGCTTTTTAAAAATATTAGGAGGTAGTCTGCCTTAAATGCTAAAGGTTTTGTATTTAAGCCCTTGAACTGTCGACAGGATTCTCTGGGATGAAAAATTGGGTGGGGGATCCTTGCTGCCTCATGCGACACTGCTGAACGGACCACCTGCCGTGTGCTGTCACCATTCACTCCTGCCTAGGAATCCCGAACCTCCAGCAGACCCTAGTGGTCTGTGCATCCAACCTGAGCAGCAAATGCAGCACGAGGCTCTTTCAGAACAAATCCTGAGGACTTTATTAAAAACAAAACCAGCACCTCTCTCAAAGCAGACAATCCACGAAAACTGTATACTAACAGTAAAGGTTAAAAAAAAAAAAAAAAAAACCTACTGCCGTCGAGTCAATTCCAACTCACAGCGACCCTATAGGACAGAGTAGAACCGTTCACAGGGTTTCCAAGGAGTGGCTGGTGGATTCAAACTGCCAACCTTTTGGTTAGCAGCTGAGCTCTTAACCAATGCACCACCAGGGCTCCAACAGTAAAGCTTTGCCCTGCTATAATTGAGATACATATATCCTACTTATTCACTGAACTTTGTGATCTTTGCAATTATCAAAATTAGTTAAGATTAATAAGTGTATGTTAAAACTAGAAATTTTTTTTAGCCCTTTTAAATTTTCCTCTCTGAAATGGGTATCCTTTTAATGTTTATTCTGCAACACAAAGTTATGATGCACTCATCTGAAAAATTCTTACATCATTACTGGAAACCAGTAGTGGGCTATTTGAGAGTGAATAAATATTCTTGGAGGAAATGAAGTAGCAACTCTCTCACACAGCCACAGGCCATTGTGTTTATCACTCCTATCTTTTAGCGGCAGCAAGATCAAAAATGATCATGGGATTACAGAGTGGCAATTAACTCCCAGTTGACACAAAGTGTGAACTGACTGGGTCCAGCTGCTCTAAACCAACAGCCAAACACACGAATAAGTTATAATTGTCAAAAGAACAGGGATGGAGATGGTGATAGATGGACCTCTCAGGTTTTTGCCAGGTTTCCTTTTACTCTCCTTCGTTGAACACATCGAGTCATTCAAAGCTGGTCTATAAATTTTGCAGGGATGCCTTTCCTCTTCGGCTTACTCATGCTGTATTGCTAAATCAGTTTCCACTTGGTAATTCTGCGGAACAATAAAGAAACAGACAAAGCAGGCCCTTCAACCAAACTGTGTTTGGAAGCAATCTTCTTTCTGGAGGTGCTGGGGGCAGTTTACAAAAGGTGAAGGTAAGGCTTACTTAGCAGAGAGACTTTGTGCTCAATATATAACACAGGAGTCTCAGTAGTTGTTCTGGGGAGTAGGGAGTGTAGACTTAACTCACTCAGTACTTACTAAACCCTGTCTCTCTCTGCTTTGTGACTAATTTATCACAATTTGGGAGTTATTTTCCAGAAAGTGCTAAATAAAGGGCAATTAGGAACACTGCTATATATGGCCCCATAACTTTTATGTTTGTCATTTTATATGAACACTATCCCAAAGACACTTTGCTTGGTATGTTAGCAACTACAGCATGTTACAGAAGAAATTGTAAGTAAAGCAGTAACTTGTTAACAGAGAATGTCCTTTGGTCCAGGGCTTCCAAATGGTACGTTCCCGGTTACAATCCCTGCTGAGAATTTGCATTTCTAACAAGTTCCCAGGTGATGCTAACGCTGCTGGTTAGGGACCAATTCTGAGAACCACTGGTAGAGCTGTGGTTCTCAAAAATTATTATACATAAGAATCAGAATCACCTAGGGATCACGTTAAAATAGAGATTCTGATTCAGTATATCTGGGGGAGGGGAATTCAAATTCTCAGCATGGGTTTGGACATGAATGAACCAGTTCAAAGCCCTGTTTTGGACTGTCACTGTAGACATATTCTCTTTTGACAATATAGGTCAAAACTAGTGACCATCCCCAGGGAAGCTAGACAGCTCCTTGACTTAGACAAGCATTTGGAGACTAAGACCACCATTTGGGGCTCCAGAAATCCTTCACCACGTAACAGGACTCCCTTCCCTTCCCTCCACATCCTTCCATAATTCTTCATTGACTGCCTACTGCAGTGAAGCATGATGACGGCAACTGAAGTTACTGGGGTTAAAAACTGTAAGACCTCAAACAATTTCTTCCTAAAAAGAGACCTTTACAGATAAGATGTAGTTAAATGAACCCTCGATTTAGCTGAGAAGAATCAGGCACGAGCTCCATTTTGCCAATTACTAGCTGACTTGTGTCCAGCTACTTGTCTCAGTAAATTTAGCTGCAAAAATGAGGTATCACAGGATTGCTGTGAAGTTGGTTAAAATACTCTATCAGCTGCAACTCTGCACAGAAACAGATGATACTGTTACTATGACTAATGGTATAAATATTGAACAGAGGGGCAGACACATTTCTGTTGAGAGTCTAGAATTATGCATAATCAAGCCTCAAATGTTTTTTAGTAAATTATTTTTCTGCAAAATGTTAAAGAGAGCTGGCCTA